ATTCCCTGGGAAGGAAAACTAACTGGGGTGTCAAAAGGCAAAGGGACCAGTATTGCCCCTTTTGATCTCACAGTGATTGCAGAGTATCCTCTCATAATCTCTGTTCCACAAGGAATAAGTACAGAATTCCTGTTGTGAAAACAGTAGTTACTATTTGATGCGAAGAAAGCAGGCACCTATGAAGCGTGCGTAGTGTTTTACAGATAGTATACATTGAAAATAGGTTTAGCAGCAGTTAAAACATTTTACTCCAATGAAGTTTCCTCAAAAAAAAAAAAAAACAACCCACCAACCAAACACTAAAAGCTTGCAGAGAACTTTCAAAGATTACAAATGATACAGCTAATCATGCAGCTTGTTTCAATCATTTGGAGGTAAATATACCTTTAATTCAAAGGAGCAACTGATTACACAGTAAGGAAACTGCTGCCAGACCAAGGTCTTTTCATGTTTGTGCTAGCGTGTTTTGTCACCATGGATACTAAAGTAATTGCTATAATTTGAATGAAAATGCAAAATATAATGAAATTGCATATAACAACTAAAAATAAAATTATCATTGTGCTTTCCTAAACTTAAATAATTGAAATGGAAATGTGGGAGCAATTCAAGTGGAAGCAATTAAAAAATATTAAAATAAGTTCAATCATGGGCACTATCTCCTTTGAACAGAGGCCATAACCAGCCATGATTATGCATTCAGTGGCATTATTACTAAAGCAAATCTCAGGCAGTTGTTTTTCCTCCCCTGACCACTTGCTCCCTGCGTCCAAGACGGCCAGGCCTTAGCAAGTTTACGTGACAAAACACAGAAAACAGATCTGTGCACAAAATACCTCCTGGGAAGGAAAAAAAAACAGGAAGAGAAGTTTCCTGATCTTGTTCACTGAACAGCATCACATACCTTTGTGCTATCACAGCCAGGCCAGAGACTACGTAAGCTGGTATGTGCATCAAAAAGTTCTTCTAGCAACCAATCCTCTTGACTGCTGGAAACACTTATGCGCTGGAATCTTAATCCACTGATGAAGATCTATTTTTGGATATTTCAAATCATAGTGAAGGCAAAGCAGCTTCAAAGTTTTCTGGAAGCTCTGTTAGCAAAAGGCATCCCAGAGAGCTGGAAGCTCAGTGATGAGAAGTGGCATGAGACCTTAGAGGATAAGACTCCAGAAAGATCTCCCTCATTATCTGTAGGGAGGCAGCCTAGAAGCTGAAGGAGGTGGGCCGTTAGCGTACACAAACCCAGTGCAAAACCAAATGCAAATTAAAAGGTCACCTACAGGTAGGCGTAGAATGAAATCTGCTGCTCGGATGCAGCGCAATGCTGTAACCTGTGCTCTTTAATATGCTGCAACTGTTTAGCTGAGAGGGTCCTAGCCCAAAGCTGCCATGCAGGATACTTCCTTCCTGCTTGGCTGTTGTTCTTGGGGATCAGCACACCAAGCCCAAAGAGAAGCATCATGACAGTCTCAGCCATTGCCACCTGTGTCCCATAACAGAATCGGGCCCAGAACACCATGAACCAGAATACATCAGCGCAGCATCCAGCTATGTCACTGAGGACAATATTGCTTGCTGAGCACACAGGGCACAACACTGGAAAACAGCAGGACACACACTTCTCCCACACCAGACTGACAAGCGACAGGCATCTACTAATGGGTGTGTGGGAGTGCACAGTCCTCCCCAAACGGAGGATGCTGCGCACTTGCAACAGCAGCAACACCTATGAAATCAGCATTCAAAGCCCTTGTGATTCCCACAGCAGAGGAGCTCACGCAGTCCTGTGCAACCTTCTGTCAGTTGCTGTAGCCTTCAGACTGGCTGATGGTTCCATCAGCCTGCACCATCATGATGCTCAAAGACAGGACAAGACAGTAACCTCAGGGACACAGCCATTCTGTGCTGTCACTTGGCCTCAAGCCTGGAAAAGCCTTTGGCTGGCTTTATTTATAGATGTAGCCAATAGGGGATTCAAGAGTAAGTCTATTCCTGTAGTAAGATAAATTTAACATGAGAGCAGTCTGCTTTACTTCCTAATTATTAAAAACTAGAGAAGAAACTCAGAACACAGAGGTATTGTTCGTACAGATTAGATTTCACTGAGAACAGCTGCAAGAGGAACGTCTTCAGTATACGCCTACATATACTGCTCTCTTGGATGTCAATAACAACTGAAGTTTTCACATTTGCCTAGAGTCGAGAGGGAGGTGCCTAAATGGAAGCAGGGAACTTCACGTTATTGCTCGAGCAAGCATTTGGTGCACAGGAGCAGCTTCCCAACACAATACAGTATGTCTGTACACTCAATAGGAACAAGAAACAACGTTTTTAAAAAAATCAATTCCCTTCTGGCAGAGAAGTGTCCTCTCAGTCACATCAAATATGCCCATGCTATTCATAGTTCTATGTTTACAGACTGGGGCAACCATATGTCCACATTTCTCCTAACACGTCGTCTTTTTCTCTTGGAGCCGTTACTGAATTTAAAATTCTGGACCTTTCTCCAAGATTTCTGGACATCAAGCAAACAGGCACAGCTCCACAGTACAGCAAGTTAAACACACATGTGACAGTAGGATGTACACTGTAGCCTTCCCAGTATACCAACTGCACATATACAGGACATCCATATAGCAATTTCTAGAAAGAGAATCATGGAAAATAATCCTATTCATAGATTTAATGGACTGTTTAAATGGCACGATCAGCACTGTGGCAGTAGAAGGTAAAGTTAAACATGTTTTTTAACATCGCTTCGTTTGACATTTTGCATACTTGGGTCATTTGTAGGGCAGCTCACTCATGAACATTCAATCCAGCTTCAAAATCAATGCAAATAAAAATTCTTTTAAGCTCTTGTAGATTTGGAGTAGCTCTGCATTCAACAATATCCTGTTCTTGACAGATAAAAAGCCTTTACCATGATGCTGCAATTTAATCACAAACACACATGCATGACTGAGACCAAACAACATTTACGCACTTAGTTCTTACAAGTATCTATAAAAAACTCACACACTTCTTAAATTAATAACATTTATTTCCATTAAACCAAGGCAAATTTTCAAAATTAATACAAGATAAAAATTCAGCGTGGTTGGTAAGGGGTAAAAAGATAGACTGCACGTGATGTATGTTAGTTTTATAGCTCAAAAATATTTTTGAATAAAACAATACTGGCACGTAGAACTGGCACTTTCCCACAGAACAAAACCAGCAGAATTCTCCCTTCTCTTCTAGTCAGTAGTTCTATGAAAACTAAGCACACATGCATGCAGCCTGCAACTTTCATAGCAAAGTTTACTATGGGAATTTGGAACAACCCTCTATCAGAAGTCACAAAATTGTAGCAAAATGCTTATTCTACTGCATTTTCATACCCAGTGGATTTTATAATACTTCCTCTTTCAACAAACAATCAGTTTTCCAATGTTTACTGTAAGTGCTTAAAACGGCATTACTACCTGCAAGAGGCCTGAGGCACTAATAAAGCCTTATTTATTTGATACAGATTAAAGCACTCCAGCAAAGTTAGCACTCCTGCCCGAAATCAAGGCCACTGAAATCCATGGTTTTGCCTGTTCATTTCATTTGGCTCCAAATTTGCTATAGCATTGGACAAAACACACAATAAAGAACATTCATTTTTAATTGTTTCAATAGAAATCTTCCACCTTGAAAGCAGTATTTTCAAGTATTGCTATCCTAGTCTTCTAACACCTACTGAAAATCCTCAAGAAACAAGACAAACAAAAAAGCCTGAATGGAGAGAAAAGTGCATTTAAGCAACGACCTCCCTCTCCTTACCCCACCCCACCCTCCCAGGATCTTGTTGACTTAATTCCAAACTCACAATTTATTGTACAGACGTGGCCTGGAATAAGCTTTCCCTGAGCGCTCTTTCTACCTGTTTCAAAAAGTCAGAATGTGTTTACTTGAATTCAGCCATTATTATTGCCATTTTCTTTGCTAATATGCAACATGTTTTCTAGGCAAGTTACTTCATTTTGGTAGCCCTGGATTTTACATGTAGACAAACTTCTATTGCTCCAAATACAGAACTTGAAAGTGCATCTGACTTCTAAACAGTATTATTCAGGCAGGTTTCAGAAAGTAACTAGACCCAAAAGATCTACATGCACAAATCTTCATAATGATACATCTCCATTGAAAGATGCAGAATTAATGGCATATCTGCTCAGAAATTTAGTGGCATAGCATCACTAAGAGATAGAACTGCTTTGCATCCTAAGGTGTGGATATTAGAAGGAAAAAAAACACTGTGTTGTGTAAGAGGAGTCAGATAAGGAATGGGAATGAGTATTGATTTCACATACAAGCAAAGCAAGTGTTCCACATGCAAGATGCAATACTGCATCATCATGGCATTTATATAATCTTTGGAGGTCTAGTCTCTACCTGCTACCTACCTTCACACGAACAGGAGTTGTGTGATATACAGAAGGAAGCCTCAGAACTGCATTAAAATTTTGCTTAAACTAGTCTAAGTCACAGGTATTGTCACAGACGTTAAATGCAAATCCCCAGAGGACTGACCTAAAATGTTCCATCAAATACTACACAATATAAATACACTAGGCGACGTGTTAATGCTGCTGACTGTATTCAGAATTCAGTAGTCTTGCTTTTTCCTTTTCAGTATTTCTAGCATACTAAAAGGCATATTTATGTCTTCCCCCATAAATAAAGTTAGTCTGATAATTTAACTTTGTAGATTTATAAAATATTTTCTATGCAACTTAACACAATAGCCTAAAAAAGCAATTAAATTTAAGAAATCGTATATTTACAATTAAAATAAGTACAGACCTTATTGGATTTGCATTCATTTATCGCACAAAATAATTTACAAGGCTTAAAGTAATAAATAAGTCACTGGAAAGCTTTTGGAGACGTGCATTCTCCGTATGTCAGAGTGCAGTACAGTTTCAGGAAGCAGTAACGAATTCTGGCTAAAGTTTTTTCATGAGTCCTTATGTTGGACGGCCTTGACCGAAACGGGATTTTGACCTGGATTAAGAACACAGAAGAAACATTATTACTGCTAGAATTTTAAATTAACGTCCAGTCAGCTCTCTAGTACAGTATTTTTTTGAAATTACGTCCATGTTAAATGTCCTCAGAGAAGGAGAGGGGAAAAAACACCCCCTCACTCTCACAATCTATTACTGAGAGTTGCCTTTCTGCTAGCATACCTGTACCCATAAACTACATACTCATACGAAGGTACACAGCTGAAAGAACTGTGATGTCAAATACTTTATTTTGAAATCACTAATTATACAGAAAGTCATACGCATTTTTTTTTGACAGAAATAAGATCTGTGAGAAATTCCTTTGACAACATACTTGAAGCTTCCAGCCCATCCCTTAAAAGTTGGTCAGCAACTCCACCATAAGCTTCAGCTCAAGAGGCTCACCTGCTGGCCAATTATGACCAGTTCTAGGCTCTACAACTGCACACAGTGCCAGCTTCTCAGTTCATTTTAGTTTATCCATTTAAGGTGTAGAAGACCAATATGCAGTAATGTAGGTTTTTGGTGTGTGGGGTATTTGGTTTTGTTTTTGGAAGGAAGCCAAAGAATAGGCTAAAGAACCTTGGGTAACACTCTTCCAGTTACCATTATTTCACAGAATATTTTATTTGAGCAGCAGCCATCCTTCCAACATAGATGTTATAAAGCAATTCTTCCAGCATGGGAACAAGAGTTTCATTCTCTTTGCTCTAGGTTAATTTGACAAATGAAGCTTTCACATCATATATGGCTAACCTGCTGGAAGGGATGCTGATGCAAAAGTGTATTAAACGAGGCATGGCTTTCTTTAAACAAAACCCACCCATCCCCGAAATCCACATTCTGCTTTTTTCTTTTATTTTAATATCTTACCTGGCATTCTTCTCGGCACTGTTTTGTCGTGCACTGACCTGTGCTGAGGCCTTTATCTGAGCTTCGAGTCTAGAATAAATGCCTCCTGCATACTGGAACCCAGAGAAAAAAATAAATCTAGTTTTGACATTATTCCAATTTAATCAGTGATTCTTCATAAAAATCACTAATATTCAGTAGAACCTATGGCATTCTTTGTTTCATTATCACAACCCAGTACTGAAACCTTTTAAACCCATCCTATTTTCCATGCCCAGTTTTTAAAGGCAGTGAATTTTAAATATAATTTTAAACTATTTTCCACATAAAAATCATGCTTGGAACAAAACGAAGATTGATAAAATTCAATTCTTTAGCTTAAGTATTGAATAGATGGTATTTGCATTTGTTTCACGTATTTTTGTTACCAAGGCTCGCTTCAGTTCTTAAACACTACATTGTGACAGGACAAATCTTACTTCTTTGCTGTCTTTTGACTTGACTCGATCAAGGTCTCCCAGTCTCATTTTTATTAAGTGCCCTGTAATCTCAGACATTCTTCTTTGATCTGTCAGAAATAAGAAGAAACACTTAGAACAGACATTTTCCCATTTTCCTTGCTTCTGAATACAAAGACAGAAGAATTAGATGCACACTTTAGTGGTGTTCTATTTGTAAAAGTAGCTTTCTTTTCAGCTCATGTAAAAATCCTGAGCAACCAAGATCCTAGATCCTGATGCATGATGTAGCTTCAGTAGCATTCTTGGCAGATACCAGAATCAGCCTGAGGCATTACTTTGAGATCAAAACCTATGGGAACGGTTTTGAGGTAGAGGTTTTCCAAACAGCAATAAACGCACCAAAGAGTCTCAGGAGATATTAAAAAAGGTAGAACAAACGAATAGAATTCTGAATATTTTTAGTCAGAAAGACTGGAAAAGAGATAGAAGTGAGCGTTTATCTCTGTTTATCTGCAGACTACAAATGGCACAGGGATGCAGGAAAAATTATTCACATACTTACACAGTTATCAGATGACATAACTATAATCTTGGTAGGTTATGTGCTGACATTTCAAGCAAACAACATAAACCACGGTAACGTATGCTTATAATGCATTTTTTTCTTTTTCTTCTCTAGACTTTGAAGTCCTTTCCAGCATTTTCCAAGACAGTAGGCCAAATGCTACCTATTTATTTTTCAATCTGCGTGCAAGACTACAATGTTTAGTTTTATACGGTGTTTTTTTCTTTCCATTTTCCTACCACAAACATTTTTTTCTCCTGTAGAATAGATGAGACTGCTAATGAATGCAAATCAAACCCTAAAGTAACATTTTCAAAAGGAGCTACTAGCTGTATGAATATTTTTGTACAGTTTGCAAGAGTCGAAGATTGCTGTGTGGTTTGGATACAGCTAATTAATAATGATCAGCCTAGTCAAAACCTGTTCTTTTCCAAATGAGAAGCAACTATAAAAAACCCCTCCTCAGATTGCTGTATCTGAGGTTAAATTCAACCTAAAGGTTTCTGTAATTGGCTGTATTTGAAGGAAAGTTGCCATTTCTTATATGAAAGAATAATTTTCTTTGCATAATATTAACTTTATGAAAGCTAAACTCATGCAAGGACAGACCATCTTCTCTTTGAGCATCTTGGTTGAATCTTAGTGACCTGGAGGCATCCCATTTGTTCTGCTGCATACTCACACTGGTTAGAAAAGAAAGATGCACACCATGTTATTAGTAACAGTTTACAAAGAGGGATATACTAGAACATGTTCTCAAGGACTTTGAGAATTACTTACATGAATGGAGATGCATCTCGGGAACTTGACTATCAAAAGAAAGATAACACACATTAAGTATGTTTTAAGATAAAGTCCAAAACTTAAGAGAATTCCTCATTATTCAACACAACCAGGCTTCACAGCTATGATTTTACCTTATCAGATGGCTTCTCCTTTTTATGAACACTAGGTGAAGAAACAATTTTCTTTGGGTGCTTGTAGGATTTCTTTAATTTCTCCTTTCTACCTGCTAATTGAAGAAATAGCTATTCATACCATCACAGATACTTGGAATTTTTCAGCTACACAGCTACGAAAATTTTTTCCCTCCATTCCTTTATAAATAGAGTAAATGAACAGGCTACAGGCATGCTAATACACACAGAGTACTCAAACGGAACCCAAGTACATATTTAAAGAGCAGAGTGATTATACTTAACAGCACAACTTCTCTGTTGTAAAATTAAAAGTGCACACACAAGCTACATCTTTGACCATACTAATTCAATCCACAAGCTTGAGAGCGATACCAAACAAGTTTAAGTTCAAACTACAATTATTTTTTTTTTTTTTTTAAAAACAAACTGGTACACTCCAATTCCTTTGAGTAAAGACAAATAGAACAAAGAACTGCCCCTGTTCAAATGACTCATTAGTATGGTGGAACAGAGAAGCTGCTTTTTGGCTTTCCACGTTCTTAAACCCCCTCCTTACCATACAAAAAAACCCACCAAAAAACCCCAAAAATCCTTTTAGATCCTATAGAGATTATCTTCATTGCAGACACAATTCTAGCCACATTCACCAGTCATTCCACTATGTAACCAGAAGAATATTCTGCTAAAAAAACACATGCAAAACCACAGTCGTGTAGCTACTGCCTTTTCTTCCAACATTTATCTAAACAAAACCTCATAAAAGTCATTTGACAGTATTTCCTGCAAAATACGCCCTTGATCAACTGTGAGGACATCTCAGACATGAATAGTTGCATCTTTCCTCATTTGCCAGTGATTTTTGACAGCAGTGAGCAGTTGGGTAATTTGTACCTAAACAGAGAAAAACTAGAAATAAAATTCAAGTAATATTAGTTTTTATTTTTAAAATGCCTGATGTTTAAAATTTGCTTACAGAATAATTCTGCTGCCTTAAATCCCTGTCTCTAAATTCCAGGGAGGATGACTGTAGAGACTTGTACCTGGTTTCCTGCATACTTCTTCTTCATCCCCCACTTCATCCTCAGTGACCTCTGAGCCAGTGGTATAATCCTCCTCTTCAGATAACAATGACTGCTGTTTCTAATCAACAGGAGGAGAGTGACACAGACTTAAGTGAGGTTTAATTCCTATTAAATGATACATTAAATCTGTCTTGAAGGAGCTGACTTCAAACATAGCTCCATATCTTAGTGCCGTAACTGCATGCACAGTTAGGTCCGAAAACATGATTCTCAAATTTTTGCTTATAATGTTTTGATAAATATTTTAATTTATGTTTCTTCCAAGTGGTCAAACATTGTAAGAGGTTGCCCAGAGAGGCTGTAAAATCTCCATCTTCAGAGATACTCAAGATTTGACTGGCTATGACCCTGAGCAAAGTGGTACAGCTTTGAAGTTGAATCTAACCTTGAAGTTGGCCCTGCTTTGAGAGTGGGAGGAAATATGCAAAATGACCACCAGATCCCTTCCAACCTGTATTATTGTATGATTCAGTGTTTAATAGCTAACGTATTGCTGGCTATATTATTTTTCTAATTAATAAGAAAGCTTATGTTATGGTAGCGAATGTCTGAGCTAACCACATAATCACAGGAAACTACAGGCTTACTAACGGTTCTATCAAGGCTTGCTGCATCTTGCAAACTGCCTAAAATTGCTGAGATACCGAGTAATGGAACATCACAAAGCATGTGCATTGCAGTGCACTACAAATAGATACAGATTATGTACACCAGAGCTATCTGCATTAATAATTTATTGCAAGTTGGTCTGGAGTATCTGGTTGGCTGGGTTTGATGGGGTTTTTTTGGTGAACTCACCCTAATACCTAAAAGTTTTGTGTTTTTTCTTTCTCTGTTGTACATCATCCTAAACTATGGGCTCCAATATTGCAACAGATGGGCTCACAGTGAACAGTTCCTAACTGATCAGCACAGAATAATGAAAATATTAAGTAATACGATGTTCACCTTGTTCAAATACACACATGTATCTTTTAAAGTAAGTGATAATGAGTGCCTAGTAATCCATGAGAAATGATGAAGCTTATGTGGACTGCAAGTTCAAAAAGTTTAGGAACCATGCTTTTGCAAGAACAGTCTTACTATAGGATACTAGGAACACGGGACTGCAACACAAATCCTCAAGAGCGACACAGGTAAACTGCTGCTCTCTAGCATTTACATACAAAAATAGTAAATGCTGCTGAAAGAACAACTCCCCATTCTCTACATTGGGCAAGGGTCTCAACTCTGATAAAAGCTTTTTGCAATGAAGCAGCAGCATAAAGAAGACAGAAGCATCTCAGACAAGCCATCAAAAGGACAGACACTCAAAAACTCTGATTTATGTTTCTGTCAGCCTAACAAACTATTAAGAACTGATGCATGCCATGCTGGTCTAGTGTTTGTTGTCATTTACAAAAAAACACTTAAAAGGAATTTTAAATTTTTATTCATGCCAAAGCAGTACTTCACACACATTTTACACTTTCTTGTAAGAAGTGTTGCTATACTGCAACCTCCAAATTAAAGCAAGACAATATATTTTCCACCAAATTAATCAGAAAGCAAGACAGAAATCAAAGCTAGCTCTCTGCCAGTGCAGAAAAGCAAATATTTAAAGTTATGAACAAAATATTTTACTAACCAGCTGTAGAGTCCAGTTCTTCAGAGAAAGAAACTGTAGTCACAGAAAGAGATAGAAATGCATGTAAGTTAAAGAACTAATAATAATTAGAATAAAAAAAAAGTGAGTGGAATTCTAAAAATAGGAGTGGTATGTTATAGTACAGCAATCTACACTGGTAACTCCTAAAAGGCCTACTCCCATCTATAACTATAAATTTTGGTGGAATGACTAACCTCAAACAGGTGGTAAACCACTGACTGATGAAATGCAGTGAATTCAGAGCCATGTTTCAACATGCCTAACCTTAGCACTAGAAATATTTCCAGCTGATTTTAATCAAAAAAGCAGTCTAGGACAGGGGGGCAGTTATGCACCAGACTGTTGTGGAGTTTAACTTTAATAGCCCCCCACATTTGTTGCAGGATAGCTTCTGATACTCTATTTGAAATTCTCATGGAATTCAAGCATTGTTGAGTCACCAGAAGTTCCATGATGGGTGCAGAACTTCAAAAAAAAAAATTTATCTTTGCATGAAAGCTCTCTTTAAACCAGAGACAGTATTATAAACAGTCTCTTTAAACTTGCCTTAGAAAGTATCTCCGTTGATCTGAAACACACATAGTAACATACCTGTATCATAGTTCTGGAAAGTAAAATCTTTCACATCTTGGGGAAAAGAACAAAACAAACCAAACAAAAAAAACCCCAATCAAAACAGAACCCCGTTACTGTTCTTCCCTTATGGACTTGCAAAAGTCATGTGGACATACCCAGATATATCAGCAGACAAAACAAAGGCAGCAATTATCTAAATATTTACCATGTGATGAGTTTTAAAGCATGACTGGATCCTTAAATGTCACCAATTTAAGAGTGGGGTGGAAAGCACAGACATATGGAGAATTGCATCTGCTATACAGAAATATTTCTAACAGACATGGTAAAAGTTTTGCCTTTTCACCAAGCAGATCTTTTGCAGCTATGCTAGCCTATGCTATTTTGCAATGCTCAGCAGTGTATGTCTTCCTCCAACACTGCATGTTTTTTCTTTTTATTAAAAGTTATCTAATGAATTCTTCAAAGTACCCTCGTAAGAATCCTCATTATCAGAAAAAAGGGAGGAAAACAAAAAACCCAAAAACTTTGGCACTCACAGCATTGATTTCTCCAGTTTTGGGACCCCACGGCGTATTTGGTTCTACAAGCACATCACATTCAATGCCTTTTTCATCACAGAGCCCAATACCAGAATCACTTAAAGAGAAAGATGTGAAACTAAAATAAATTTTTCTATGTCACAACTTTAGAATCAGTGTGTCTCTACTCATCACATATCAACAGAGAAGACAGACCTCCAAGTCAGCCGCACAACGTTTTGGTAACAATCCATTAAAATATAAAGACAGGAGTGAATGGTTATGAAGGATGAATGACTAAATGTCTGCTTGAAATGTGAAAGGAAAAAGTACTGGTTCTTCTCTGTCCAATTTCCAATTAAACAATCAAAAATAAGTTACCTTTAAAAAGTCCTATATCCCATTTTAAAATGGGAGAGAAATCAAATATAACATACGCATGTGTTAAGTGTTGAAGCTGTGATTTCAGTAATGCAATACAATGTTCTTACCTATTCTCATCCTTAGTGAAAGGAACAACAATGACATCTCTATGATGAAGCAGATCATTCAATATTTTAGTAGTTTGAGATGGCAAAGCATCCCCATCTTCATTTCCTGAAGGTAATTCAATCTCATGATCCCTCACTTTGCAGCCCTGCAATACATATACACAAAAGATCAAATACTTGAGTTGATGGGAAGAACTGATTTTAGTTAGTACAATAACAAAAGTTCAACTTTTAAACTCTTGCGTGCCAAGGTCTTAGCCTGCTTCTGGGATATTGCAACAATTTACAATTCTTATTCTGGAAAAGACCTCTTTTCATAACACACTGTTGCCCCGCTGCCATGTGTTATGCTCTTTTAAAAGTAAGCTAATATTGAAGTACCTTTGGGAGTGTTGTAGGATCAAATCGAAGTACTTTTTGATTACAACAGGGATATACTCCTGTCCCAGTTGAGCCCAGAGCACTTGCTACACCTGGATAAAGAACTGGCTGCGAATGGTACTGGCAATGGGAGAAATCTGTACACAGGAAAGACTGCAGTAAAACAAAAAGAGAGGTAGTGAGAAGTGAGATTGATCACTTCTGGAAGTCAAAATTTTGCACTATAAAGAACGTCTACCAAGTTTTATGGACATATATTTTCCAAACTGCTTTAATCCCTGCCTTGCCCCCCAAAAGTCACCCACAAGTCATCTACAGACAAACAAGTAAAAATACACTAACTTGGTTACATCTTGAGCAGGTCAACCAATTGACAGTCCCCCAAAGACGCCAATAAACATCCCGCCAAGATTTCAGTTCCTCATGAAGGCCAATTAAGTACTCATGGACTTCCCAGGTTTTGTCTCTGAAAAAGCAAAAACTTAGGTTGCATACAGAGTCCTCTGTTTTGATCCTGCCACCAGAAAGGTGAGGTGGAGAAGGAACAGAACACCACATGCTCCACTGGTGAAAAGCCTACAAAAGAATTTAGAACAGGAAGGATACAATGTGGGACAATCGTTATTAAATTCTGACCACGACAGAAGAGCCTGTATTCTTTCACAAAGTCCTAAACTTACCAATAACAAAGAATTACAGCTTGATTCATCTCAAGCTCTATATATTGCAAACTTATAAACTAAGATAAATATTAAGCCTTTTGGAAATCAGTAGAACCATAAAACAGCAGAAAACCAATATAGAGTAGAAGAAATCAAAATATACGCATGCAAACAAGTTCATCATATTGCAGTTTTCCGTATTTAAAGTAACATGTTGTGCAACAGAAGCGAAGTACTGCCATCCTATTTATTTATTTTAAAAGCCAACATGTTTCTGTGTATCTGCAACACAACAGCAATTACTCAGTTAAGAATTAAAGTTTGAAAATATAAGACCATACCTCCCTGATGAATATATGTATCTGAGACTTCTAGTCTTAACAATACAGACTTTGTTCCTTTCTAGTGATGACACATGCCTCTTCGGAACTCGAAAAAAGAATATGCAACTTGCACTGGTGCATGTTGTCTTCAGAAAGAGTAGATACCGTTTTCCCACAATTTTAAGCCCTGGCCTGAACCTTTTTTATTATACATACATCTAACCTAAACTAAGGGAGCAGTACTTCCAACTGGAAGTTAGTTTTAGGCACCACTAGAGGACCAATAAACATAAACCTATTTTTAAATCATTAAAAGTAGGCTTGTATTAGCTCATAAGCCTGAATTCATTAGTGCTCAGCATCACTTCACCTAAGGGACAGTAAATGGATTCTGTGTACAAAAGCAGTTACCAGTACCACAAGGCAAATAACTAGAACCTAAATAATCCTCGGAGTAACTTTAAAACCCCGCACATTTATATGCTAGGAATTGCATAGCAGCTACATACAGTCAGCTTAAGTGAAGTAATACAATTAATGAATTTTACATGGCTAATCACCAGTGATCCTAATAGGTCAGGACAGGGTCACAAGATTTGGTTCTATTTAGGCTGTTAGGCAGAACTTAATCCACACTTTGGAATTACTGGTGGAAGGTAACACTAAATGTGTGTTACCCTGGGAGCTGATACTGAACTGTGTTTTGGTTGGTCTGAATGAAATAGATCTGATGATAAAGGTTTCCCATTACTAATTTCCCACCATCTTCCTAAAGGGGGCATGTGGGGAGGGAAGGAACTGCAGCTAATCACACACTGATCTGCATTAAAAAGAGAATACAGCTGTTCACAAACATGGATCAAACAGAATTGAATTAAACATTCGTACCAAACGAATCAGGCACGCATACAGAATAAGTTCTGGAAGCTCGTCTGACAAATACTTTAGAACAGAAAAACAACCGGCAAAGTTTATTTATAGTAGTCTTTACGCAGGCTGAGTATTTGATTTGCCAGGTTAAAGTCAGTCTAGAAAATACTCGTTAGCATTTCTTTGCTGGCAGAAGCGGATCTATCATTCAATAACAAACCTGGTAGAAACGCAGCCTTCAATTTAATTTGCCACCAACTACACGTATCTCAAAACTCTGCGATGAAAGAATTAGCTGAGTATTTTCTATTTAAGGCAGTAGAACCCAAAATAGCTCTCCCAGTAATCGTGTCTGCAGCTTTTCCATTTCCATTCAGCAGCGGCACTGCCGAATGAACTTCAGAAGTACAACATCATAATTGCCCTATAGGGTTTTTTTGCTAGGTAATATAAGAAGTTGAGATGTTTCATACTGCTCTTCACATACATATGACTTAATTTTGCAATGTGAGTATCTGTTAATCCCTAAACATGTAGTATTTTGCAAGATCATCCAAAATCATATCGGTGAAGAAACATTTTTAATATATATATATATGCACTACCTTATATGAATATAGACAATATTCCCATGTTGATCTATGTTGATTTTTCCTGGTACGCAAGGAATTCTTCTTTCAGTTTCTTTAGTTAGCAGCTTTTTACATAAACAACATCTAGATTATAAAAAAGAAAAAAAGAAAGAAAGAAAGTACTAGAGTAAAAGCAGGACTTCAAAATGCAGGGACTGTCCTTGCAACTGAAGTAGTAATATAAAAAGATGATACCTGTATAATGTTGCTGCATTTCCTCGAGAATCTGGATTTAGATACTCCGGATCAAACAGTCTCTCAATCTTCTTGCAGAAAAGTTTACTATTAATGATAGCAACACAAGTTATCCATCAGAAAAAAACTGAAAACTGTTTTATGTATAGCAAGACTATACATAAATGATAAGCAAAGTCACCATATTTCTCACAGAATCTAGCTTTTAATGTGATTTTCTTTTCAATTAATCTGTACAGATAACCGGTTCCTGATCTGGTCAACTCTTATTTTTACACAGATGTGAGCAAAGAGACCCCTTAATTTTTTTCTCTTTATTACATTGCTTGCCAATAAAAACTGCCACCTTCTTCCTTGACTAAAAGACTTTACTTCTGTGAAATTACACTTAACTTCAATATGTCTTCATCCCTACTGATTAAAATCCTTTCTTACTTTCACCTTGCTTGTCTGTCAGTCTGCCGTCCAATAATTGCCCCTTACCTTAATAGCGACTAAGCTGGAATCCTTATGTATGAAACAGCATTCCATCACAACTCTTCAGCCTTCCAGCCACCCTAATTTCTATGTCTAAACATCAGAATTCACAGGATGCTGAATCCAAACCATTCTCTATGAATTAGGAGCATGTCATCCCATAAAAGGTTCCTTACCCTAATCCTGACCCCCATGTGAGAATTCACGAATAATTTGTCCATGCCACACTTCTAGTGTGGCCTTTCCTTTTGCTTATTTCCTATAAAAAGCTCTTTCCTTTTGCCCATAATATTAATAAGAAATTCTGAAGTCACTTAATGATATTCTGTATTAAGGATGCATTGTAAGAGAATATAAATTGTTTGTATATATATATCTATATATATATCTCACTTCAAATCCCACAGTGTCTCAGCTGTTCTGAAAAAAATGATCCAAAAGCCTGACAGCACTTCAGTAATGTATTACAGGGTAAAAAGTTACCTTTTAAATTTATCTCTTTTGTCCTTCAGCTCTTCCACTTCATTGTGCGTGAAGAGATCAGCAATGTGCGTAACAAGATTAGCATTGATACAATTCATGTTACACGGCGTGGCTACAATAGCATTCATATTTTTGTGACAATAATGAATACATTTTTCTACCTAGGAAAACCAGAAATATTAAAAATAGCATTAAGGAATTCTAGACAAAGCTATCTCAAAAGACGTACTACTTGCTTCAAGATTTTTATTTTTTAAACTGTGACATTTTGGAAAACTATTTCAGTTCAACTTAAAAACAAAAACCAAGTCTCAGATTTGTCTAAGGGAGACTCTGAATTAACATGACCCTGAATTAGTTTAAGTTCTCCTCCAAAAGGTTTCTACAGACCAAAAAACAACTCCACAAATGTTGCGTCTTCAACAAGCGGTACCTTCCAATTACTTGTAAAAAGAGAACCACAGTACACGTCACACATAGTATTGCCTGGACTGTAACTTAAACAACTACATTGACTGTGCATTTAATTGTGGGTCACCCCAATGACAGAACTTTTGACAAACGTTTTAGCAAACAAGTCAGTATATATTACCTATACAGAACTGGAGAACCAGATCCTAAACTGCAGAAGTGTCAATTGTGTAAACAGGATATAAACCAAATGTATTCACTGATTTAATAACCTTTTTTTGATAAAACCTATCAGAAGCGAGTTACTGATGTAGATCAGTCAACAGAAGGCAAATCCAAGATCCTACTATCACATTTAGAAATAACCTCCTCTGTAAGTTTTCTTGCATTGAGATTCTGCAAATATTAGACTACTATACTGAATAAGAAAGGTGGTAAAAATTTCAAAATGTTCTCATTGCATCATCTGTCTATGTAACAGCCAAAGCATAACAAACAAGCTGTTAGACAATTAGTAATTAACTGTGTCCTTATGGCAGAGAATCTTTCTTTCTTATTACTTACTAATGAATCCATCTTCAAAAACTCAGAAGAAATAAGAATTGATATCACATTTGATGGTTCTAAAAGGCAACAAAACAAAAAGGGTTTTTTTTACATCAATTCTTTTGATAATTTCATAACACATCCCTCCCTCTGCATATTTAGTGTCTGTTTTAAGTATTATTTTACCAATCAACCTGTCATTCCATCTTCCAATACGTAGAGCATCTTCCATCTTAAGAAACAAAGTTTTGGTTTGTCATTTAGGTGGCCAGAGTATAACTATAACAAACTGTAATTTATAAAAACTGGAAAATGTGGCTTCATAGGGATACAGTGCCTAAACAATTACACAACAAGGTCAACTTCCATCTGTAGCCATCATACCCAACTGAGATTTTGCTTCACCTCTGCACTGCAAGTTCTCTTGGTTTATATTTTTTTAAAAATAATAGCAAAGATTCATAAAAAGATTAAAAACTTGCCTCAAATTCATAAAGGCAAAAGTTCTTCTAGCATTGTATCAGATTGCATTGAAGTTTTAGAAAATATTGCAATTGTACTGATGAGGAGCAAAGGGGAAACAAAACAAAACCAAACAATCATCAGTATTTTAAAACTACCACTCTGTTCTTGTTCAGTAGAAGTCTGAAGAATCTTAATTAAAAACACCAGATCCCAAAATATATTAGACCTTTTTCACTGCTTCAACTATCAGGATGTTTCCTTAAACCTGTCAGTGTTGACAATCAGAGGCATCTGCTATAATGACTAGAGGATTTCTGTTGCAACACTTTTCTAATAAATGGCAAGCTTCAGTGCAACAGTCAGAAACAAAGAGAGCGAGGCTGAACTGTACCAAAACCATTAATCTTCCATCAGTACAGAACATAATGAACCTACAACAAATGATCTACACACGTTCTTTTACCTAAAGTGGGCATTTCATTAGCTTCAGAATCTTTAGTGTTCCTTTTAACGTATCTTATCAACCAGTCAAAGATGTGAACGTCACAGTGCACTGAAATGTCCACCTCTTCCCAGCGCTGGGCATCCACTGACAGATATTCAGCAAAGTATTTCATTTCTGAAATCAAAAGGTCTCGAGGACACACAAAATCTTCTTTGAGGTTTTTTGCTTCATCACACACATGGATCACCATATTTGGCCTCAAAAGAAAAACAAGCCACATACCAAATCAGGACCGTAAGCCAATTAGAACACCAAAACAAAAAAGAGCTCATCTCCAAATCTGGATCACACATTGCAACACCAATGTCACTAACAGGTCTTTATTAATAGAAAGAAAACAAATTAGTACAAACTATTAATAGAAACTACTGTCAGACAGCATCATCAGGTAAAGAACACAGATGAATATCCTCTGTCACATAATCAGTGCAGTTTAATTGTTCAGTTAAGGGACCAAAGACAGAAAATTTCTAGCTCCAGGCCCCACTTCTGCCACCACTTTATATGGGATACTATCTGAATTACATAGTAAATTTATGTTGTTCTCCCTTTTAAATTTTCTTGAAAAAATAGGCAGATACATATGCTTAAGTTACTGAGGCACCAAGGACAATAACAGCATACAATAGCAATTTTCATCTGTGGAAAATAAAATTGTTTTATTGTATACTAAAATGTCTATTTCTTAAGAAAAGGTCAGAGCTAGTATCAGTAAATGCTGTCTCTACAGAACAATGGTTATCATTAGGTTTCAGCAAACACATTACTCTATGTGTACTTGTATAGTACGGAAAACAGGGACGTGATAGTACAAAACACAGCGACATGCACAGCTATTTGAATGTGTAGTAAAACTTTTCATTTGCACTTTTCATTTACGGCTGGCTTTTCCTACTTTTACATAGGACAAATCTATGCTCACAGAACTTTTTTTTTTTTTTTTAATTAAAATGTTGTTTAGCATCCATCTTGTTTCATTCCTTTTTAAAATCAGATTATGTTTCCTATTCTCACCACAGCAGCAACCAATTACTTGGAGGAACACTATGGACAGATTCATAAATAAGCTACCCCTACTGCACATAAGAAACTCCCAAACCAGCCCCTAGTATTTCTACACCAATGTAAGGTTTCAAAATCTCTTACAGAATTTATTAGGATGTTCCTGGCTGTTTTCTTTTAGATAGTAGAAAAGTACAAGCAATTTAGACATCTTTCTGTCAGTTCTATAACCCCTAGATAAAACACACAAAGATCTTCTTACCCCTGGCTCTCATCAGTGCTTTCTCCACCTTTATGCACAGGCCCTTTCTCAGATTCCGAAGAACAATTTCTTGTGGAGGTTGTGCTGGGCCTTCCTTAAATGTAAGGAAAAAAGCCTGCATTAGAACAAAAATGCCTGACCTTTTCAATCCTCTCAGCATCTTGGAAATGCAATTGAAGTACAGCTCTCATGGTGGAGCAATGTTACACAACTAGCAACAAATCTGCTACCATGAGGGCACCTAGAAAATCCAAATTCCTGCTCTGAATGCCATGCACTGGAAACTCAGACCAACAGCCTTGCTGGGTTGTACTGACACTTGGCTGCAAACCCAGATCGGTTCTGTCTCAATATAGAGCAGCAAGATTCACACAGAGTCTTCAGCATTTCCTTCTGGGAACACAATCTATTCCTTCAGCTCTCCTTGTCTGGTTTGTGGGATGTGGGTCTTAGGACTCTGTCACATCAAAACTTCAGTTTTCAGGGCCCTTTTCTGCCATGACACAACAACTTGAGACTAACTCTGCTTCTTATCCATAATGTGTTAGGTTTGGAAATAAGTTGCTTCCAAACAGAAGCGCAGAAGTCTTTTAAGACGTGTTTTTGCTAAGTTTCTCAAACACGTGGCTTAAAGCAGCAGACGACATAAAACAATGCCCAAAGGAAACAGAATGCAGAAAAATGAAATTTGTCTAGTCCTAGAGCTACATCCAGTAGCTTATTCCAGGAAAAAAGGACAGCTGCACTTTAGTTCACAAATGTATGACAAGCAGTGGAACCTGGACACAAAACCCAGTGAAGTCCAGGAGGTCTAGGCATCAAATCCAGTGAGCTCTGGGTCAAGAGTTAAGACAATACCAGCATTCAGACATTGAATAACTTTTCTGACTAATGAATGGATCGCTGCAATCTGAAATTTCAATAATCTTGCTTATAAGTCAGAAAGATCATTAACTTTTTTTAAATAATGGACGGACACATATCTGTCTTCCACTGATGAAAACCCCTAAGGTCATGATTTTCCATGATTACTCCCTACTCTCAGATTTCTAGGAAAAGAGTCCCAGAAGCATCTTGTCCCTCTCATGTAATGTAAGAGGCTGTACTCTTCTGGAGAAGACTTCATCTTATGGCTAAATCACTATAGCAGACTGACGCCAAAGATGATCTGGAAGCTCTATACAGTTCGGAACACAGTAGTTAGGCCCTTCAGGAGAGCAAAGGTATTACACCAGACCAGAAGAAACAAAACTTTCTCCAAAGATACAGCGTAAGGCCTGGCACAGTTAAGCTTTAGTAAGGCCATAATAGAGGGAACACAGTTAATAAAAGGGGAAGATTTACTAGACAGAACCTAGTAAAACCTTGGAAGGGGCTGGGTCAGCCATAGTCTTCAGGGCAACCATTCCACCACAAGCAGATGACCCATGCTAGTATTAAAACAGCCATGACAGGAGTCCTAGATTTTGAATGCAAGGTAAGGTATTTTAAAGAAAGGCCTTGTGGAAAAAAATTACATGGAAGAGTTCTGTCTGCAAATATTAAGAAGTTTATTTTGAACACAGTGAAGTTATTAATTAAAGAAAAGGAAATAATGCTGACAAGAATGTGCAACACAGCCAAATTAACGGGGATGCCTGAACTTCACCATACATTTCTTCTTATCTCCCCCGCCCAAGCTTACAGATTGTTTGACTTCTGAAAGTTAGTAATAAATACTTTGGATAAAAGGCTATCCTATATGCTTGTTTACCGCCATAATACGCATTCAGAGGGACTTAACAGCAGTTTGCCTCATAATTAGCAAGTTATAAATGAGCTTTTATAACTCAGCCAAACCTGGAATGCAGCTCAAAATGAATCTGGTCTAATTCCTTTTTCTTGCTGTTACTCATGTCTACAAACATATCCAAACAGACCCAAAATTCTTGATCCTAACAATAAGCAGATGTGAATAAATCCACTAGGAAGTAATTCATTAGACAAAAACCATTTACAAATAGGCTTTTCTCAAAACCCCAATTCTGAAATATACAAGTACCTCACAAATATTAAGAAGGTGAGTTCACTCAAGCCTGTGAGAAAAATTATCCTAATTTCATATCAACAATTAATACGTAAGCAGGAAAAATTATTTACCCAAAGCTGCAAAGAAAACAGAAAAAAAAAAATCTCAGGCTAGGATCTCGTTGTAGGAAACATCAGGGTACTTAACTGCATTAATACTCCTTACATGTATTACATTGTTAAAAAGAAAACATGCACTAATTGTCTAAAGAGTTCTATAAGCAGAGTTAGCTTGTTAACTGCCTACTTGGAAGCTACTAATCTTATAAGTAAACACCTGTGGTTGTAAGAAGCATTTATTCCACATCATGCATGTACCAAGTACGTAATTGAAAGCTGATTGGAGGCATTTTCAGTCTAGATGCTCCATATACAGTTTTCAAATAGCATCTCTTGATTAGAGTTATTAAAAACATTTCATTCGTTCTCCAGCAAAGGTCAAACAGCTGGTTTTCTTCTGCAAAGATAACAAAGTGTTATCACAAAAGTGACTAGAAAGCTGCAGCACTGTGAAGGACATCATGCCACACATTTACCAAGCCCTACAAGGCGCTGAAAACATCTCAGTCCACAATGAAAATCAGAGAATAACCATCACACAGTTAGTTACAACTACTTACAGAAGTACTTAAGGAAATGTTAACAGCAATTAATTGTGCTGTGATTGAAATATGACTATTAGGACTAGTCCCCTTCTGCCAAATCATTACTAGGACACATAATTGACTAAGACATGTTTTATGTCATTGCAAGACTGTCTTGCATCAAAAAGTAGCTACACTATGCTCCAAATCCTATGTAGCCATCTTGTCATCAAGCAGCATGGCAAACACAGGGCTTTTAACTGGGAAAGAAGGGTCTGACCTCAAGGGATCACCTTCTCAGCTTTCTGCAGCTTTTCTACACAAAACTTCCCAGTTATTTTAATAATACAGCTTAATGTGATTGCAAATGGCTGTAAGTTTAACTGTAAAATGCTGGATATACAATAGGAGAGAATAACTTCTCTCCCCACCAAAAACGCTAAACAGAGGATTCAGTATAAGGATTTCTGCCTTATGGAAGGACAAACTATTAAAAAATACCCAAACAAACATCGATTCTTAATCTAAACTAACTGAAAGCAACTTCATGTATGCCTTATATTTATACTTAACTTTCTTTTTCAAAGATGAACAACAACTATTCCTGGGTAGACTTACCGCTCAGGACAGAAAAGCATGCACATACTGATTATAGTCAAAGCCAATATATTTCAGAATGACTGAAAACATACCAGTTATAGTAATGGAATCCTGCCCAATAGCAGGCTCCTGAAACTCTGTCTGCGTATCGAGCAAGGAAGATTTGATGTACGTAGCTAAAGTTTCCACAGGACTCCCACCAGCAGCCATCAGGGGATTATACTGGTTGTCAACAGGTGAACTTCCACTGCTTTTTAGTTCATCAAACCTTTTTGCACACTGTCACAAGATTAAATGATAGGACAATGAAGCAGTAGCTTTCAGTACATTTTTAATAACTATAATTTGAGACATATACTGTATTTTGTATGTTTTGCATGTGAACAGTTACTACAATGTTAAACTCATAATGCTTCCTATTTAGTTAGTGGTATCAGGAAAGTACATAAATATAAAGTATGACTGACCATAATTAAATACTCTAACAGAAAGAGAAGAAGTAAGATAGAACCTGTCTCAACCTTTGTTTCCTTAAATCCTGTGATTTTAAGCCCAATCTTCAAAAGGGAAAGTTATGGGGAGAGCTTAAATTCTTACTTTATAACTAGTTCTTTTACCATAAACATTGTCAATTATTAAAAGTAGCTATAGTAATAGCTTCATAATTATTATTCTTTTACTTTATGACTTCCATTCTGATTTGGGCAAAAGTGATTGGTGATTTCCACTGCAGCTCTGTTAACTTTCCATTCCTTGTTTTGATGAACTAGAAAGTCTTTCCATTTTGTAAATTTGTACTGATACAATGACAATAATGGGTTTGGTTTAGCAGAATCCTACACATTTGTAACTTACACATACAAGCAGATCTACTTAATTCTACAGGTGATCCTCCTGTGACACATCTTGTCAGGCTCCATTCAAAGAGCTGGTTTTATTTATCTATTTTGGACTGAGCTAACTGATATTGCTGCATGCCACCTGCCCCTTGGGGAGCGGTGCACACAGTGACAACCTTCTGATGCTAATGTAGTGTCTCAAATTTGTAATGGTGCCAGTCTACTATATACAACAGACACACAAAATCACAGGTATACCATTACTTAATTGCCTTAAACAGGGACTCCACATATTTGAGACACTTTGTTCTTTTAAAACAGAGTAATCCGACATCTGCTAATCAATCATATTATCTTAATTATTATAAGGAGAGAGATCACCGACACTTTCATAATTATTTCCTTAATGTGCACAGTACTGTCTGCAAATTGAAAGATAAACCGTAGAGACCCCACCAAAGCGCTTTGCCAAGCACTTGAAAGGGTTCCACTCCCAGTCATTCACTTTTATGTTCTAAATACAAGGTTACAGTGATGCCTGGTAGCAATGCTATACATGTGAGCTGACACATTTGATTAAGTTTGCAAGAAAATAAAGACCACTGGCTTGTTTTCTTCCAGCTTTGCTGAATCACAAAGAGATTCTCCTCTCTTAGCTTACTTCCCCTCAGAAAAGAAAAATTCACAATTATTATTAAAAAAATGAAAGCATTTCACCACGAAATTCAACAATCCAGAAAGATTAAGTATATGGAGGTACTAGGTTCTTCCAACTCCATTCCAACCGAAAAAAGAAAAATCCACATCATGTAGGACCAAGCAAGAGACAACTGCACTCTTAATGACCTGATAAAGATCTGTAACTCATACTTCCTTAGAATTGTAATGACAAGCACAGAAAGTTACCAAGCTTGCTAGTAAGTATACTACAATCTACCTAAGGTTAGCGTGTACTGACATCCTTTCCATGAAAATCTTTGCCACGTAATTTGAAATATGTTAGCATAACTACCTTTTCTTAATCCACTTTTTAATTTTTACTTTCATTAATTTTTGTTCTTATTCTGTATCAGTTCTAATGAATAAAATGTATTTCTCAGTTTTAACGGTCAGGTTTTGTAGATACAAAAATACTTCTTTTTCAATCTAGTGCTCATTTAACATTTTCAGTTCTTTAGGTATAAATTACTTCAGAAAAAAAAAAAATCCCTTAACTTCAATTCCCCTCCCTCCCCCAAAGATGTTTCCTTCTTCACAGAGTACTGCTTGAAGTCTACAAATTCTTTTATTAGTAAATTCACCTCTTTGGATGTATATCCTGGAACTAGCCTTGCCACGCTGTCCCAGTTGATAGGCTGAGGAACACCAATTAGGGAACACAGGATCATATCCAAAACCATTTGATTGTTGTCATATGGGAAGTTATTGTTTTCTGAAAATCCACGACTCATCTTTGGCTATTTAAGCCTAGAAGAGAAAATATTATTAGTAAGTCTCACTGCAGGGTTTGCTAAAGCTTGGTCTACTTAACTGCAGCACTCCATAAACTGATATGGGAAATGTTTACCACAGCATTACAGTCAAATACTAATGCTTTATTTGACAAAATTTACATATTCATATTTGCATCCTCAAACCCCTCTGGAGGGGGTGAGGAGAAGCAGATGTGCAAAACACACAAAAACTAACCCAACAGCAGGAGGCACTACCCACTATTCCTTTGAGTTGTCTGTTTCCAGGAGGGATTCACACCACTGAGCTCTCCAATAAAAAAAAAAAGGCCTCCCGCAATCACGGAATAAACAGCCTAAGCTAGAGGGACATTTCAATTTAAATTTACTTACATTCAAATATACTTGGCTGTTACCCCAAACTTTCTACTGCTCAACTTTAGTCTCCAGCTCTGCCTATTTATTTTGCACACCTGACTTAAACTATATAGGAGGCAACCCAGGGCATCCAGCTAAGAGCCATCGATAATCAGAGGCAGGAAACATGAACACCTGGATGTCTTTCAGCAATCATCCTGACGACCTGACTTTTGAGTTCTCCTAAGACACTCTTAACTCCTGATTAGCTGGAATTATCAGGGCCAAAAACCCTTCAGCTTCACACTGAACACCAGAACAAAGCATATAAGGACAGCAGTGAACACATTAAAAAAAAAAAAAGCAGTTCTCCCAATTCGAAAAATGTGTTGTATTTAGGGTGTTTTTTCAAGGAAATTTTATGTATAGCAGCAGGGAACACAGTAAAAGTTTAAAGTGCTGTTCTAGCATATGCTGGGAGAAAACTGTGGGCATTAATCAAGACTTTCATATTCAAGTAACACATGGCCAAAGAGCTTAGTCAGGACTCATATTTGGAAAGCACTTCAGACCATTTCCGAAGTGCCTTAAACAGATCCCATAAATAACAAGAGTCACATACAGAAGCTTGACTTATAAAGCAAGGATTAGAGAGAATTTCAGTGAAAATACACTTAGATGGTAGTAGATTTAACTGACCACTTGTTACTAAAAGTACACTACACGAAGTTTCTTTTGCATCACCCTCTTTCTAGAAGAACAGATGCTTAAAATATACAAAATAGCACTGACTTTCTTTCTGACTCTGGAAGCTATTCCAGCACTTCTTTTTGTTTGTTTTGTTGGTGAAAACAGAAATCACAATAGCAGGTAACTGTAAGCTTTCATCCTTTCAAAAGAGCAGCTGAATGAAACCACCAGAGAGAAAAAAAAAAAACAAACACAGAACCCACCAAGATAATTCTTAGGTTTCATAAATTCACAGTTCCAAAAAAAAAAAAAAAAAAAAAAGGCACAAACAAAAGACAGAAAAGTCCAGCAGAAAAATTCATACCATTGTAGCAATTCTCTCTAAATGAAATCTATTGCAGGGAGTGCCAAATATCCAGTGTTAAAGGACAAAGGTCCTTCACAGACAATACAAGCCCAAACTTTGCAGCTAAGATAGATGCCGCTGTGAGGTAAAGGTAGATCAGTCCCTGCAGGCATCGAGTCCTTAGCCCTCACCCTGATAACACTATCAAGAGGCGTCACTGTGGTAATTCTATGATGGAGACTTCTCACTGTCAGTGCACAGACAGATGTCAGTATCAGTTATATTTAAGCCAGTGAATATCTACCCTATCTGCTGTTATGAAAAGAAATAACCGTACCAGAACAGGTCACCACCAGTGGCAAACCTGAGTGGTTATAAAATACGTAGCCAACTTCTTGTGCTACCTTGTACACATGTAGCACCTGGTTTAAAAATATGCTTGAACGAGATAAGCAAATGATGGAGTATTAGAACCCTCTGGTCTTGCACCATAAAATACGCTTAATGAAAGTAAAACTACTAGCAATGTCAATATTCCATAAATCACCATTTTAAGGACTAGTGCTACAGTACGATTATACTGGGTAATCAAAGAAAGAAAGAAAGAAAAGTAGTTATTTTGCAACAGTTAGAGTCTATCATTTAAAGGAAAAAATTTTGAGTACTTTGCTGGTAACAAGTTGATGTACACATCAGCACTGTAGACCACAAAGCAACCGACCATAAAGGGATGACAGGTAGTCTAAAATGTAATGACACGTTCAGAGAGGATGAAACCTTTGTCTCTCAAATATTTTTTATTTGCTTATTCTGTACATTAAAACAGTTTTATATATGCTTATTACTGCAGAGACAAATGAAGGAACACACTGAACTACAAGCATACAGAAGTCTTTTTTTATTTCTATTCCAGAAAGGGCATAGGACTCCTCTTTGTGCCTTTATACATGATATTTAACATTTGACTTTTTGTCCTTTAGGAAATCCTATCAGAAGCATAAAGACACACACACAAGATTCTGTCTCGTACAAGAATGGTGCGCTCCATAACAAGAGGAACATAAAGCCTGCAATAAATCATACTGTTAAGAGAAAGAAGGCAACTTCTACAGATTGTCTCCAGTTTGTTACCACAAGCAAAGCTCAAGTTAACCTTTTCCTCCACGATGGAAATGGGAGGGAAAAAAGTTTCAGTATTATTTACTTCTGACCAACTCATTTGATATACACAATATGGAAAGATATGTGACAACAGAATTTTTATTAATACTTAGAATTCTAAATTAAGTGGTGTAAAGAATTCCCAACACTTTAATTTTCATAAAACTGGTATGACTTAAATAGTCAATTCATTATGCACTGCTTCATTTAAGACCGAATTTATTTTTTTTTATTTAAAGGAAAGTATCAATCTAAAAATGAAGAATTACTGTCCCCTTGCACGTGTATAACCTGCAAGAAGGTAAAGATGGTGGGATGGGCATGAGGTTTCCTGCCGAACCCCTAAATGCAACGAAGTGATGGTGCAGAATGGTGGCGAGAAATAACAGCAACTTTGACTGCAGTTTCCCCACACGCTAATCAAAACAAAAATTAAAATACGGCATTTAAACACAAAAACAAAAGCTGATCCCAGTTTTCAGGGCAAGATCCTACAAGTGTAAGCTGCCTCCTCATGCAATACGGTCCTGGCGGGACCCGCCCTTAGCAGCGGGGG